ATAGTGAAATTGCAGAAAAAAGCTTGCACACTGGCAGTAAAGTGATATGACTGCTATTATTATTAATGAAATTTAGTGCGATTTCTGTTTGTTCTTTGAACAAATATATCGCTATCAATTCTTGCACTATCTCTGTTGCAACGTCAATTACTGTGTAATGTACTAAATGATAATTATGACGTTAATAGTAGTAAATTAGACAACAGCTTTCATTTGCTGTTGATTAAAGATAATACCTTAAGTTGCAAACTTATGTATAGTTTGTATTATTACTTAGTTTTTGAGCAACTACCAGCGAATATGTGTGCCTAGGTTATTTTTTTAAGCTAGGCACACATATTTTTATTTATTTAATAAAATAAATAAATAAAAATATGTGTGCCTAGGTTATTTTCAGAATCAACACGTTGAATTGAAATAATATCGCTTAAGACATATGTAGAGAGTAAATTCTCCGTTACACAATATAATATGACAAACTTTAACATTCTATAATTAAATTGGTGCCTCTGAAACATTTATGATCTGTACGCAAAATATGAATACGCAGCGTTGTCGGTACGAATCCGTCAAACAGATGAGATAAGGAGGACGTGAACTTTCGCTGTGTTTGTACGGTGCCCTCCCTCCCTCCCCACCCTGATACTTCGACCCTCCTGCCCTATCACTTACAATTTTAAGGCAGGGCGAATGGGTGTTCGGGCGATGCGCGAGTGTATTGTGCGATAATTGCAGACGATGTCGCGAGATGAGCTCTGGTAACGTGATCGCATGCCTCCCGTTTCGTGAAGACGTTTGTAATCGAAGTGGATGACAAAATCGTAAGCTGCACTACGTGTAGAGGAACCGTAAGAAATGATTGATAATAAACGTTTATAGTATAGACATGGTCCAAATCCATCATAGTAATGGTTATACTATTAGGGATTGGTTATAAACTTCTAGCAGATTCAATAGATTGTTGGGCATAACCTTTAGTCCTTCTAGAGGCTTCGTTCCTTCTCACCACTGATTAGACGCAAACATGTCATCTTTATACATTAATATAGTGTGTTATCTTTTACATTATAAGTGCCTTGGTAGAAATTTATCTAGTATATATCAACATAAATTAACATTAGCTTCTACCTACGTCAAGTATTAATGTATATTAATCCTCCATTAAGTACCTACCATCATCTTGAAGTCCAAGGACTTTCAGTACAATGACATTAGATCACTAATCAAGATTCTAATGCTTTCCTCGATTGTAAAAATTCAAAACAGGATGAAACCAATTATTTAAAATCAAAGTTTAGAAGAGAAACATAGCTCAACACCTCAGTATCGTTTAATACAAAATAATGGTTAAAGTAATTATTTTATATTAATCTAATGACTCCGTGGCGCAGTTTCTTAAGTATTGTCTTCGGAGCCGGGTGTTCGATTCCCACACGAGACAACTATTTGTATGACCAACAGATAATTGTTTCGGATTTGGGCGTCTGTCTAGTCCACGTGAAATTTATGTGTGTCCTTACAACACAGAGCAATGTTATCCTACAGCAATATCAGTGTTTAAGATAATAATTCTGAAGAAATAACGAAACCTTCGAACTAAGAATTGAACGCAGAAATGAATAATTACACCGGTCATTACACATGTTTTCGAGAAAGCGCCCAGTAATGTATTCAAATCGAACGATAAATCCTTTGGGCGGGAATTTACTTACGGGGCTGGTCGCACCGGCAATTAGTGCGGGTGTAAGACGATCGCTCGCGATAACCTACTTACCTGCGAAAATAAAAAAAAAATGTAAAATTAAATAACATTATAATATCATTACGTCGGCAACGAGTCATGACCTCGAATGACTGCAATTGACCTATAAACTGCGAGCCCAAGTTGGTAGAGTTGAGCGAAAAACGTTACATACGTTAATAAGTTATTAGATGTTGTTGTATACAACGTGCTTTATTATGGAGCAGCAAAAAAGGTTGCTCAGCCACGGTGCTTACCCAAGGGGCCGACGTAAAATGGAAATATTTCATAATTAAATTATTTCGAAATTAAAAAAAAAAAATAAACGTAATAATTCTCTCATTTACGGACATAATGGATTTTTTTACACCGACGACTGAATTGCTTACTCGACGACCTGAATGGCGTAATGGGTAGTGTACCTGTCTTCTGCGCCAAAAGGTGTGGGTTCGATCCCCAATGCTGGAAAAATATTGTGTGATGAACATAGTGTTTTTTTGTGTCTGGGTGTTTATATATGTATAATATGTATTTATTTACAAAAGAAAAGTATGTCGAAGTATGTTTATCACTTATCTAGTACCCATAGTACATGCGTTGCTTAGTTTGGGACTAGCGAACGTTGTGTAAAAATGTGTCTTGAAATATTTATATTTATATTTATTACCATATCCTGTATTTCATTTTGTTGCTAACCGACTTCAAAAAAGGAGGAGGTTTCTCAATTCGACCGTATATATTTTTAATTTTTTATGTGTGTTCGTAGATAACTTCGTCGTTTATGAGCCGATTTTAATGATTCTTTTTTTGTCGGAAAGGAAATATTCCAAAAGTGGTACCATGATAAGGAAACACGGATCTGACGATGGCATCACATAGAAATCGAGGGCCATCATTGAATGTTATAATTTTCTGAATTGAAGTCGGTTTTTTTTTTGTTAAAAATTATACTTGTTCTGTTTCATTTCAGGTAAGTGAGGTAACCTGGGTGCACCCTCTTAAAGGTCAAACAACAACGTCAATTGTAACCTTCTTGGTGTTACGTACATTCATGAGTGGCGGTGATAGGACCTGTTTGAGCACTTGTCAACTTCTACCTTAAAATAATGTTCTTAAACCTAAAGTCTACGCACTCATTTAGGTCTGTATAGATTACGCAACTTATCAAAACTAATTCTGTAAAAAAACCTTAATTTATGCAACGGCAACATGTTTACACATTGAGAACTTCTTTATTTTTTTAAAACAAGTCGATGTTCGCGTCAAACGCAGCTATTGTATTCAAATTTATCTAGATTAAATAAGTAATTGTACTACAAACAAGTTATGCTAGTTTTTAAACGATATCCATCTATCGTTCTCCACGAAATGATAAGAAGGCGAAATAACAAAATTGGGGCAATTAAGCGTTATTACCTTCAGAGCTCGCTATATTGGATATCTTATTCAAATAGCGAATATCATCATATATTCCCATTTAAAGGCCTAATTACAATAGCCATTTACTTCTTATCTCACTCTCTCATGACGTACTCATCGGGGAAAGAAATTATCGTGGAAAAACCAGCATATTTTCTAAATTGCTGATAACATAAACATTTCGAAGATTTGCAAAGTCCACCAATCGGAGGTGGGGTCGCGTGGTGATACCGCTCTACAGATGAGACCATTGACCACCAGTGGTATATATATGGGCTGTTACTTTACTTTGCTCTACGCTCTTTAGTGTATTTTTTGAAGTGAACAGTGCCAGTAATATACGTTGAACGTGAAAGTAAAATATACACAAATTTTTACATTATTTGAATTCCAAACTTCGACTGACTTTCATAACTTGGACCGTACACCTGAACTCACGCCGTTCTAGTTATAAGTATGCATATGTTATTCCCGTTGAAAAAAATCTGCAGCAAAATGCAAATGAGCCGCGGTATCGCGCCATCTGGCGACTGCACGCGCGCCCTAGCGTGTTTCGCCCAATGATGTATTTGAAGAAATATTTCAGTTACTGCCTCCCGTTGATTAAATAACGGCGAATTCGTTAAAATTGTTTCATTATAAAAAGTGTTGGGGAAATAATAACGGTCTTTGATTGTTTCGCAATGACGCAACATGTCCTGCAGACGGGTTGCGACATGCAAACACGAGGTAACGAAGCAGAATGTAGAGGCACCCACCATCTTTTTATCCCAGTATAAAACCTCTTTAACTTAAACTGGGTGTATTGTAATACTTTAGGATTAGCAACCAGTAAATATATGTACGTGTTTTACATTTTTAAACTTAATATCTCGTTACTAAATGTGAATAAGAGTTAGGCAAGTTCGTCTATACCAAAAATAACATGTGTACATACATATATAATATGGTACCTGGTGGACGTCTATCTGTTATTATTGTTTAAGTTTTGTGTTGCGCTAAATAGAGTAAGATTTTTCATCATCATACACATGAAGCCATTTTAATAAGAGGGGAAAATTGTTTTCCTTATTTAAAAGAGAATATCATTAGCTTACGTAATCATGAAGTATACAACAAAAGGTAAAAAAATAATGTAATGTTAATATAAATTTTAAAACCGTTGACGTATTACCTTACAACCTAAAATATTTCCATTAGTGATAATGAAATTACATTTTTTTCCTTATGTTAAATTAAACGGAATCAACGGCGTTTAGTTAAATATTAATTACCACACGTTTCGACTACTACGTATTTGGATTTTAGATCGACTAAAGTGTTCTACACTTTGATGCCCTCGTTTTATTCTTAAACAACTGCAAATTAACGGTGTTAACTCCAATGTCGGACATCATACTTTTCTTATGTGTGAGGGCGGCAAGGGAGCTGGCGGCTCACCTGATGCTAAGCAATAACTGCCGCCCATGGACATTTGCGACCTCCGTAGGGTTGCGTTGCGTTGCCACCTTTAAATAAAGTGGGTCCCGGCTACCTCACTCACCAGACGAAGTGTATAGTTCTACTTCACGCCGGTCTCTGTGTCTCACACGGACGGACCTGTCCATTTACGATACCGAAGGCCCTACCACATATTCCATAATCTTAATTGCGACGTTAAAGTCAAGGCGTGTGAACTCCAATGAGCAATCGGTGTTTCAACTTTTTGGCTAGAAAGACCGCTCTTTGTTTGTCTTCTGCCGACGGTGACCTTAAGTAATTCCACAGGCTCAGCAACACTTCTACAGCTTTGCAGTTGAGAGACGCGAGAGCGTACGTCGATTGCGCCAGTTACGTCGCTATGCTCCCTGAGTCGAAATCAACCGATAATCCTGATGGAATCAAACGGTTCGCGGGCTCCCATACGCTCCGTCGCTCGCGTCGATATCGCGCCGAGCACGAGGCCAAAACGGCCCTTATCTCGGTCACTTTTCGCGTTTTTCAGCGACCCAACACCCCACGCCCCCTCATTCGCTCATTCGCGACGACCCCCCACTGCCCGGAATAGGACTGTAGCCAGCGATACGCGGATATCAGTTATATTGAAGTGCAACGCGTGGTAATGGGTCATGGGTTTTTTTCTCTAAGCGCTTTATGCGAGCCCTGTTGTAGCTTTCCGATGATTTCTAAATATTAACGAAAATTCTGCATAATACAGAGTTTTATGAATATTCGAATATTATTATAGTCACAAGATATATTAAACTTTTCAGACACAAATTTTAATCCCATTGATTAAGAATGTTAAATTAGAAATATTAGAGCTTTCTGTTATGTCGATAAACGTCTTTGTTTTTAATAAAAATATGCCTACAGTAAATTTGTAGAGCACGCGTATTTACTCCTTTTCAGGTGACTCTACGACCTCGGTACAATCACAAGCTACTCTACAATTTCTGTCGGACTAAAGGGTATGTTAAGATCGTGAATTCAGCAATAAACTGTGCCGTTACGATCAGTTAGATCCATTGGGAGCCGAAGGTCGCACCGCGGCAGGTGGCAGATAGCGCGCTATCGCATCGGCATTGGCGCGGGTTCGAACCCGGCGGGCTATCGCGCTCATTACGCGATAGTTATTCAGTTTGTTAACAATGCCGTCTGCGCTGATATCGTGCCGCTAATGAGACTGTGCCTTAGATACGCGGCTCGTTTAGCGTTCGTTTTTATCGGGCCGCTTGTACGAATCGAATCCTACGTCGATAGAGACGTGTACATGTACGCCTAAAATGTAGAGTTCCTTTAATTGCTTATGTCGGTCGAAACGTCGAGTTGTAGAGCACTTGGAATATCCGAGTGAATACTTTATACGCACAGTTTGTTTTTACAATCGACGACATTGCAAACAGATTGCCAAAATAGATGCAAATGTATATTTTCGTGGTAATTACGCGCAAGACGTGCTTAAACGTACACATCCATATTCAATATGTTTTGTTTATTTTGTTTTAAGCAAAATGTTGTAATATCAAAATCTAAACAAAAATAGGAATAACATGTGATCAATGCAAGTCCATGGAAAGATTATTACATTATACATATTAAGTCTATGAGGTCTATAAACTTTAAGGTCATCAATTAATTACAAATAACTTACGTTACGTATAAATATAAACATTAATGTACCCCCTATTGTCAATCATAACTGTGTAATAATATGCGACAATTCCAAGAAAACCACGAGAACGGGTGCTGGCACTCGATAAATCTCGATTTTGCTTATTCGTTCCGTATTTTCTGATCGTTGCATTTAATGCTTTGTTTTTCTCGGTATTCAATCGGATATAAATGTAAACGTAATATGTATAGTGGGATAGTATGCATATCCACAGTATTAGTACCGCTTATATGCCACATATATAGATATATTTTATTATAAGCTTCTGAGTTAGCGTTAATCATCGTATCGTTTACCATTTAACAACTCATCATGATTAAATTGAAAAAAAAGTGAAAATCTCACATTACTTATACAAAAGGTGATTTTTAAATAAAATTTTAATCCAAGCCAGTCAGTGTTGGTTGTTACAGGAGCTTAACCGATTAGAAAACATTAACTACGTTGGATGCCTAGTCATAAATCTCAAGTTAGGCGTCACATTTTTTTTTAATCTAGCATCACTGACACATACATACTTTTAAGGTTTAGATTGACATTAAAATATGTAGAATAATAATATGAAGAAAAATTAAAATATGTAGATTGACAATATACGTTTTATTTACTATAATGTAAATATATTTTGCTTACGATATGTATTATACATTAACTGTAGTGTTTAAGTCTGTCTGTATAGTATAATCTTTAATTATTCTGAATGTCACAGTCCCCTGTGCAAGCAATATGCTTTAAGGAATGCATGTATTAAAATATATACAATGTTTTCTATTTTGATGTAATGTATTATTTATGCATAATTAAATAAATGAAAATTAGCCACTGCACTCCTTCTCAATTTAAACTATAAGTGTGTGAAATTTCATACTCCTCCGTCCGCACAATTTTCGTAACAGGTCCATATTTTAACTAACGAAAAACAAAACCTATTTATAGTTGATTTTCAGGAGTTTCCTAAGTATCTCCGGATCCCAAGATCCAATACCAATGAAATTAATATGGGGCCACATGGGAAGCGCAGATTTCAAATGAAAGAAGAATCATAGGTTCACTCACCCAAAAGTTCTGAGGTAACAAACATAAAAATACAGTCGAATTGAGAACCTCCACCTTTTGAAGTCGGTTAAAAAGGGTTACAAAGTTTTTACTTCACGTATTAATATATAGATTGCGATGATTCCATTCCTTTAACTTTAACTCAGTATTTGTAAAAAAAACCACATATAATACAATTATAGATATAATTTAATATAGATATAGATATAATTATAAAATACAAATATAGATATAATTATATAACACGTATAGTACGTATATACACATATAGTAAGCCAGTTGACGAACTAAGCAAGTGTACTAACGAACAGTCATTTCGTATTTGTCACAACGCCCAAGCGAATCTCGTTTGCGCAGCGCAAAAACTCCCAAGTACGCTCCGAAGGATCTCGTATGAAGTCGCACATGAAATATATTCAATCTGCGAGTTCGAGATAAGGGCCTCCCTCACCCTCAGGGTGCCCCACCACCCGCGCTCAACCGGATATGAGCCTCATTTTTGACGGTCACTTGAAATTTGCCGATTGTTAACATCGCTTATGTTTCTTTGTGACGCCATCAATTAATTCAATTTATTGACTTTGTATGAGTTTCTTTCTTTATAAAAAAAATAATTGATGCATTACGGGATAATTAAAATTACCTTATTGTCTCACCAATATATCGTTGGTTTTGATTTAGTTTATTATTTGTATCTATCGGAGAAAGGCCTGCAACAATCTCGCATCGAGTGTGTCATAGCCCTACGGTTTTAATATTCTATCTACAGATAGATTTTGTTACTAGCGGTAGGTATTTGACTTTAGCTTCATAATACTTACGTAAAAATTCTATCTCCAGTAACCAAATCTATCTGTGGATAGAATATTGAAACCGGTCAAAAATCTGTATAAAATATAATATGAACTGATGACAATTACAACATTCGAGCAATGTCCGTGTACTAAATGATACAATACAAATCTTAAGCGCAATTTGTATTAAGGCAACGAAATAAAATTAAACTTTAGTGATATTTTGAGACGTCGAATCATGGGACGAGTTGTGAGCAAACACGGGGTGGCGACTACGTATATAGCACTATAATAAAATTATTATTATTCGCTATCGGAGCAACCACCCGGAGATGCTATCGACGCTATCTCACAGCGCCAAGCGAGCTTCACCCCCTTCGCTCGGGTATAGGGATGGGCGACTTAAGATATCGATAGACGCCTTATTCGTATAAAACTTTTCTTGTACCATTACTATCACTGAGTGATTGAGTCGTTTAGAATATATATATATATATATAGCAGGCAAATGTTTCTGTTTACAAGTTGTGTAGCCAAGTAATTAACGAGCAGTTTCGAACAAAATTACAAAATGTTGTTTCAAACAAATGTCTATGACAAAGTTGCCTATACTTGAACTAAAATAACACGTTCGATAGACAGTTGTGGTCATAATTTGTGTGGATACGTGGTCATAATCATGAAATAAATTCATATTATTTCGTAATTGAAATATAGTCATCAAATACATTCGTATAATTTTGGCGATGAAATATCACTGGAGTGCCAATCAAAAGACCTTTATCGATCGACAACCCTATTCTAAGAATAAAGGAGGTTATACACTCGGGCTATACTTATACTCGGGTATAACTTGTCGATATCGGCGGCCCGTCACTAGGGGTGTAACCTGCCTTACACCGGATAAGAATAAATACAGTGGCGCTCGCCGGGCGGAATGTGCTAATACATCCTTATCGCCCGCGACGCCCGCCGTCCGCACACAGCCGCGTCGGGTACGCGCGCACGTGTGTGTACACGCGTGTACATGTGCACTCGTGTATACGTACACGCGTGCACATGTGTGCGTCAACGGACACATCCGTCATCGCTCATTGCTCTGCGGAAATCTCAGGAGGTCGGGGCAACGTTCATCTAACGATTCAGATTTAAGTAGAATATTAATTTGCCGATGTTTGTTTTCTCGTCCGTAATTATTGTGCTTTTCTTGTCTTTGTATCTTAAATTGTGAAACAGTAGTGCTTAGTGATCAATTATTTACTGTGATAGACATCCTCGTTCCTTTACTTAGTAAGAAGAAGTTGCTGAGTTGACTTTCAGTGGGTTTTCTTATAATTTTCGGTTTAATTTTTATTTTTGTGCTCGTCGATGTTGTCTCGTCTCGTCTCTCAAGATGATTAAAAATAAAAATTAATCCAAAAATTTTAAGAGCATCGGTGACATCTCTCGTTACAAATGTTCATTTTTGAATGTTCTTTGTTAGGTGTTGTATGCTGTAAAGGATGCACACTAGATGGCGCCGAGCATAGCTAAAAAATGCAATAGAAAAAACATAGACAGATGTCAAGATTATCGCGCCGTGCGGTCATCGGCCGCTTAGCTTAGTTGGTAAAGCGTCTGGACGCTAAACTAGAAGACGCAGGTTCTATTTCCGCATTGCTGAAAGTTTTTTTTCATCTATCTACAATTTAAGGGTTCTGTTAAATTAAGATATGTCATAATGGAAATAAAAAATGAGTCGATAATGTTAAGTTTCGATAGACCTGGTATAAATAAGAGTTTATCCCAAGTTAAAGTCTCACACGTTTAAATTTGTTAACAATTGAGTAAATAATACAATTCACTCTAAACATCTACAGAGCTAACGAAAATCTAAATAAGAAATATGTCTCTAATGAAAATTGTCTGAAAATACGAAGACCCCAAACATGATGCATCATATGATACTTAAATACTTAAATGAAATCCTTAGGTTAAACGGAAGGAGGAAGAAAATACTGCTTTAGCGACATGCAGGTCGTCTTTCCCGATGACGGAGGTCAGGTTTTGTAGAGGAGGCTTCCTCGAGTGATAAGGCTCTTTTGTTTCGGATTATCGACCTTATGTTTATGGTAATGAGCACTATCGGTGTTAGATAACGGGCCTGCATTCTATATAGGATGTACACGTGCGGCTATGACGAAAAATTCTCTTTACAAAACACGTGTAACCCTTATAAAGACCTATTTTCAAGCTTTTTAGTAAGTTCCAGTTTAGCGCGTGTAATTAAACAAATTATAGTTATTTTTTTTAAGTGTGTGTGTGTGTGTGTGTGTGAGTGTGAATGTGGATATGTCCTCACTTGTTAAATTTTATGTTAGTTTCGTCTTTCATAGTCAATACATTCGTAGTCTCTTCTTCCGTCTAATCCACTTTAACTGATAAGCCACTTTAGATCGTTGATAAAAAATAAAACATATAATTGTCTAATACCTTAATATTTGTTCAACCTTAATGTTCATGGAATGGAATGGAAAATTAACATAAGAAAATAATCCATACTAATATTATAAATGCGAAAGAAGACAGAGTTCTGTCTGTCTGTCTGTCTGTCTGTCTGTCCGAAACTACTGAACCGATTTAAATGAAATTTGGTACACAGAGAGTCTAGAGCCTGAGAAAGGACATATTTTTTAATTGTAAAAAAGTGTTGTAAAGAGTTGAAAGATATTTATTTAAGGGCTTCAACGCGAGCGAAGCCGCGGGCGAAAAGCTAGT